ACGCTATAGTAATTTCTGAATTTGATGCACCCGAAATGTCACGTGACGTACCTTTCCAACATCTGAAATTAATTAGCTCGAAAGCCTTTGAAGTTTGCCGGCCTTCCAAACCCTGTCCTCTATTAACTATGCTCGGACCGACCAATTCATTTGATCAAGTTCCTCGACATATTCATACACTTCCTAGTATAATTGTAAATTTCCTGTTGAATAGTTTGAATGCACCAATCACCTTTGTTGTTTGTGCAACTAACCAATCATAAATAGAAAGGAAGTGACCAGAAATGATCAAATACTTGGAATTTGGCTCTTTCACAGGAAGTGTATGAATATCTCGAGGAACTTAGGGACGGACCATTTGATTTTTGATGGGGGGGTGGGTAGATTTTCAGTTTGCTCGATATTTTTTTTCCGCCTCCTGACACTGTTCGATTTTTTTTTGTCAGTCAGAGGACTCGCACGATATTTTTTTGTATCCATGTATATACAGTTTTTTGTTTTTACATTTTTTGGTATATAATAAGTAATTGGACAAGTACTGGTGTAATACATTGTGTAGCCTAAATAATGAGAGGACCAGTATTAAAAAATGGTTGTTCTTCATTTCTTTACTCCGACTCCTATGATGAACATGTACGTAAAAAAACTAGGGAAACTGCGATTATATATATAGAAACTAAAGTAGGTGAAATTTTTATGGGACTCCATAAAAGGTGAGGATATAAGAGTGAGAGATTGAAATTGAGTAGGAAAGGCAACCCTACACGCGTTTCGACCTAACAGTCTTTTTCAGCAGGGTTTTTTAAAGGGGGGGGGGGGAGTATATAGAATTTGCAGAGGAGAAGAAAAGAGAGTTTAGGAGTTCGGAAAATAATGTGAACTTGGATCCTCTACGTAGCAAAATCCACACCAGAACTAGCTATAGCTATCTATTGGTCATATCGTATCATTACTAATCTCTGTTTTGGTTTTGTTATATATGTACATGTTTAGTTATTATTGTATATTCATATATTTTAAACAAAAATCAAACCCTGCACGGTGTTATCATTATTTTTATCCCTTATGTATCACTAATTGCCAAACGCCCCTATCCCTGTCTTATAAGCTCCTACACCACGAACACCATATTTGGATGCAATCACCTACAGTCACATGATCACCCTTACCATCACAATCATTCAAACTCAAGGACCTGCAAATTTTGTCTTCACTTCACCAATACAAACGATGAACAATAAAGTGCGTAGTGTTGGAATGTCCCGCAAACAACAAGACCTTTGGTGGGATAATTTGACTAATAACATGTATAGTATAGTTACATCCTTTCACTGTGTAATTGGTTATTTTCAGTTATTTCGTAATAATTTGTTTTCCTCTTGGTCTCACATTATTTTCCGAACTCCTCTAAACTCTCCTTCCTTCTCTTCTTCAAATTATATCTACATGCACCCCCTCTTAAAAAACCCTGCTGAAGAAAACTGTTAGGTCGAAACGCATACCCCTGTACGCTATTCCTGCTCAATTTCAATCTCTCGCTCTTATATCCTCGCCTTTGATCGTTCCCATAAAAATTTAACCTATTTTATTTTCTACGGCCGTGATTTAATCGTAGTTCTCCTAGTTTTTTTACGTACATGTTCAGCCTAGGAGTCGGAGTAAAGATATAAATAACAACCATTTTTGGAATTATATTGCTCCTCCAATCAATTTAGGCTACAGGGCCGTAGGAAGCTCTTTTTGATTGGGGGGCTGAAAGCGAGGGCCGAAGGCCCGAGGGAATTTTTAAATTTAGAGTCTCTGAAATGCCATTTCCTGGACCCTGCAGCCCCCCGGTTGCTACATACGGCCCTGGGCTACACGCGGAAATGCACCGAATGGCAAATAAGGATCATCACTCGAAAGTCTTGCTCGATATTTTTTTTTGTCCGTTTATTCTTGCACGATATTTTTTTTAAGTTCGAATTGCTTGCCCGATATTTTTTTTGGGATTCTACCCACCCCCCCATCAAAAATCAAATGGTCCGTCCCTTAATCAAATGAATTGGTCAGCCCGAGGTAATGTATTGAATCAATATTTGAGCAACACTTCAATTGGAACGACAGTAAATATGTATACTTTTATATATGTGATCTGTTTGAAATGCAGTCACATTTGACAGCATTGCAATAGCCCATCTAATATTACCCAGTGTATGGCATGTGCTTGCTATGGCCCTCCTATCGGCTATCAGTCAGTCTAAAACATGTGTAAGGGGCTGCTTATATAGAGGCGAGCCACCCAGGTAACCTGGCTATAGCTCGCTTTCCCTGGATGAATGTCTGGTTACATGAGCCTCTTTAGATGGGCAGGCTTGCCAAAACAAATCACCCAGACTGAGTTATATAGTGGAAGCACATTTCCCAATAAAGTGAACCAACAAGTGATCAATCACTCATACTTTTGCAGACAGTCTCGAAATGTATAAACTGACAAAACCAATCACAGAGATCTTTTTACCAAATCATTGGTGATTGTATATAATTTATATGGAAAATCCTAGCTTGGCATTAGCAAGATTTTGGGACAATGAATTTTGGGTCAATTATGCACCTCTATTTTAAACACCCTTTACCAGAAAAGTTGTATTCATTTGGATGATGTTAGTTCAATTGCATGCTTACATTAAATGAGTAAAAGCATTTGAATTTTGTATTTCTTGCTTTGTAAATGCAAACAACCAAAAATAGCAAATTCATTGTCAATCAATCAATCAATAATTTTTATTTTGTGTGTGTTGTTGTTATGTACTCAGGTGAATATATGATGTTGGTGATGTTACTCGGAGTGTGTATCCACACCGGGCAAGCTGAAAAGCTTGGCCACAGTGGAAATCGAACCTGTGACCGTGGCCAAACTAACTTTTCAGCTTGCCCAGTGTGGATGCACACTCAGCGAGAGTAACATCACAAACATCATATATTCACCTGAGTACATGACACCAACACACACAAAATAATCGTATCATTGAATACCCCTGTACACTGATATCGAAGGAACTAGACTCAGTTCCGAAATATCATCAACTCGAACAGACTTGACCATGTAGCTCAGTTGGCAGAGCATTGGACTAGTATCCCAAAGGCCGCTGGTTCGATTCCCACTGTGGCCAAACTAACTTTTCAGCTTGCCCGGTGTGGATGCACACTCAGAGTAACATCACAAACATCAATCAATAATTTGCTGCTGTTATATATCAACCTTATATATCTTTTTCTTACTAGGGATTGTCATTAATATATGGATTTAACAAAAGCTTCCCAGGAGAAGGCAAGTTGTCTAAACAAGTGGTATTATATGTAATCATTAATGGCATTCTAAGAACTTCATGCATGGTCTATTTGGAAAATGTTATTCTTTTGCTGGAGAGCATTTTTGTGAATTACAAAACCATGCAAGGGATGGAATTGCCGACTTGTGGTATACAGCTTGTTTTGTACTAAATTTTTACTAATGGACTTGCTTGACATGTTTGATTGAGCAGTGAGACTACATACATTATACATGCAGTATATTTTACTTGTAAATATTCTACATTGAACAGAATATTAACCCTTCTTTTGCTCATTAAGGAGAGAGTGCTGCCACTTAATGGGTTAAAGCTTTTCTGTAAATGTAAATTTTTTGAACGATAACTATGTAATAGCCGGTACTGTGCTGGAAATGGAACCTGCTGCTCTGTGATTCTGATCAGCTTTTTAACCGTCAAGGGTCCTCAAGCCCTAAGAGTCCATCACCCTGAGAGTCGATCAAGCTCTACTGTAACCAAGATTTCATGTATATAATACTAGTGTCATCCTGGGCAGTTTATTAATACACTACCAATGACACCACCATGCATGGTACACTTATATATACGGCAACTTGTGGTTTAATACCTCTTGGCAAAAGGGCTCTTTAGGTCAGAGGGCTGCGGTAGAATTGCCGGGCTGCAGGTTCAATTCATGCTGACAGGCTTGTAATTGTATTCCACATGTATTCATGATATCATTCTAATCAAAATTTCATTTTAGAACTTCATTAAAAAATATTATAGGTCATATACGAGTATATCATGATTATATTATGCTACAGCAAATTGTATTTCCTGCTATAATATACCTTACTTGCAGAGATAATAAATTATTTTGACTCGAAAAATGTCTTTATTGATTTCTAAAGTTAGTTAAAGACTTTTCTTTATTTCGATATATAGAAGTCATTTTGTCTCCAAAGGAGTCGAATTGACTCCAAAAGTGGAGTAAATAAAAAAGGTACAGAACGACTCCTTTTTTGGAGTAAATTTTACTCCTTTATTTACTCCATTTTTGGTGTAAATTTTACTCCTTAAGTAGAGTTGTTTTTACTCTTTGAGGAGTAAAAACAACTCTACTTATGGAGTACAATTTACTCCAAAAATGGAGTAAATAAAGGAGTAAAATTTACTCCAAAAAAGGAGTCTTTCTGTACCTTTTTTATTTACTCCACTTTTGGAGTCAATTTGACTCCTCGAAATTAACAGTGCAAAGCTAAATTTTTGAAACGAATTTGAAGTATATGCAATGCTTTGAAATGGCCTTTCACAAGAGGCAAAGAAGACAACTTGACTTTCTCAATTTAAACAAATAATCGCCACATTGTTTACCTAACATGTTTGATGGCTTTCTTAATACATTATGTTATTTACCGGCTGGGAGGTCCAGATGAGAAAAACTGTGGGCGAGGTCTTGGAAACGCCCGAAGGGCGAAGGACGCTTTCAAGACCTCGCCCACAGTTTTTCTCATCTGGACCGATGCTGCCGGTAAATAATGTGTGCATGCGAAATAATTTGAGATCGGTGTGGTTGGGTAAAAAAGTTGAAAGATAAACACGAATATGAAACACACAAAAAGACATTGGCAGTAGTTTCAGAGTAAATGTGTACACATGCTATTTTCATCAATATGGTAGCAGAAAAGCATAGGAATGAAAGTTTAGGACTGGCGTTTTTGCTTTGACAAATTCATTTGTTTCCTCTCGATCAACAACGACAGGTTCATGTTCAGCATGCTTTGCCGATCACAAACACATGTAAATTAATCTGTTTTGAATTAATCAATATGCTTTTCTACTAAAAGGATAATGAAGAACTATAATTATATAATATTCATAGTCATAGCCGGAAAATCGCGAACCGTTAAAACAAAGACATGTCAATTTGTTTTTAGCACAAGCATACAGTTATGAAGCCATGGCTAAACGAAATGAACTGCATTAACCTATAGCAACAATTCAGATAATTTGTTACCTTAAGGCTTAACTTAAGTCCCGTTTTAATATAGCTGCAAAATTTTGCAATGGCACGCACGGCACGGCAAAATTTGTTACGGCAAAAGTTAAATTAATTTTAGGCACGGCATGTTTAGTCTTAATATTGTGGGACATTTAACAACAACATTTCAGAGGTGGTATTTGATATTTCTGTAGGTACTTGTGGTTTTGAAAGGCATTTGAGCGTATGTCATCTCTGCGGTTTCTAGAAATGAAATCGATATTCTGCTGCAACATTTAAATTCTTTTGAGCCGTCCATCCAAATCACGGTAGAACGTGAGATAAATGGACATTTAGCTTTTTTAGGTTAGTATTTTGCACAGTAAGAAAATTGGGGCTTTCAAAAAACACATATGATACAAAACTGCCAAAAGCCATTGCTGTATTTCAAATGGATTGTGAAACTTGTTATCTTACATCTATTGACTGTGAGTGCTGGATGAAAATTATTAACAAAGTTAATAAAGCGTTCCAATTCGACACGAGAACATGATGCTGTGCCAATACAGTCATCTATGTACCTAACAAGGTAATCAGGGATGGGATCAGTCAGTACTGTTCGAAGATTTGTTTTTCCACAAAACCAACAAACAAATTAGCATAGTTGGGTCCCATTTTAGTTCTCATTGCTACACCATTTATCTGTTGGTTTTAACGATTTGCACAAAATCGAAACTGGGTCACGCAGTTCCTGGTCCACTATAGTGCGATCGTACTTGTTATTCTATATAGTGAGCTGGTTGGCCAGCGTATGTGAGACTCCCAGTGTAAGATGTTAACTTGCTGAAGCAGAAGCTGGGTCAGTCAATTCGACCAGCCTGGTTCATGTGAAATGCAATCTCAAAAATATATAAAAACAATATATGAGGCAGTATCTCGACATGGGTGGGTACATATTTAGCCCATATAAATGGACAAGACCTGCTTGCCCAGTGTGATATCATACTACAAGATTATGGCCTAAAATTTTCTGATAGTAGTTTCCGGGTCTGTTAGGGGTCTGTTTATATGACTGGGCTAGGTACATGAAATATTCATGTCCACAGACAGTCAAAATCGAGGAAAAACGAGCCAAAAAACAGTTATTGAGCTAATAAATCAAATAAATACGCCCCATATTGATCGCCACGCTGTTGAGCATAAAAACGACATGTTAACTTGCCCCGTCCCGGAAGTGTCCTGTTTACTTGTTGCACAGGAAATTATATGAGTTAATGTGAAAATATGAACATAACAGTATAATTTAAAAATTATAGCCTCTCAAACCTCGATTTGAAAGGCTTTTAAAAAGGCTAGTCCGTTCGGAACCTACAAATTCGAGGGATAGTATTTAAGCTTGCGCAATTACCAGGTAAAGTTTGAAGACCCATATCTTTGCAATCACGCAATTAATCAAAAATCCCCACAAAAAAGTTGAGGAGAATTCTTTTAAGAACAACATATATCAATTTCAGGGGAAAACAAAAAAAAAACCCGCTTGCAACAAAGCTCTGAACTTACACCATAACATTCCCAAATGTTTGTTTACAAATTGCATGTGATGACGCGTTTCATGCATTCTGATTGGCTTAGAGCAAGAATGTTAACAAAAACGCTGATTGATCGAGAACAAAATTCCCCCTTGTTGATAAGGACGCATTGTCATTTTTCCATACCTTGTAAAGTTATTATATGTACCCTTCTACAGCCTCGTTGACTTCTTCAAGTTTTGACATCTCGGAATCATTTAAAGGGCAAATGATATCAAGGTTTATACCATTTACATGTAAAACCCATCCGGTTTGAAATTGTGCTAATTGGTAAGCAAAATTTCGGATAGAAAATCCCATTCGGATTATTCGCTTTCCATTTAGTAATTTCAATTGTTAAATCGCGAAGAGCCTGGAACTGGTGAAAAAAATTTTAAAAATGTAAATGGAACAACATTTACCGGTTGAAACTTTCTAATCGGTAAGAGAGGACAACCTTTTCAAACAAACCGTTTATTCCGGAAAAGTTCCGGTTGGGCCGTCGAAATATGCTTGTTCCATTTACTTTCCGTATGGAATCACCGGAATTTCAATGTAAATGGTAAACAACCCAAATATCATCTGACTGTAATCACACGTTTAATTGAACAATTTGAAAACTGTCGAAAAACCACGATCTGCAAGAAACGGCAAAAGATCTCCCTGGCGCTCCTCAATTTTTGCTGCCTCAAGCCCATAAACCCCTGCAAATGTTTTCGTTGCGATGCACTACTTTATGTAGACCTTTCATATAGTGACTCAATAGCATGAAATTTTTTATTAGCGCCTGGGGACCAGGCAGGCCCACTAATATATTTCTATTCAAATTGGCCAAACACGCCGCGGAAGCTGATTAACTAATGGAATTTGAGTAATTAACGTTGTTTTATGAATAAATAATGATGTACAATGCATAAAACCCTAGTTTACAGGTTGTAACTGCTCTTTCTGTGCTGATCGCCAAGACAGAGAAGTGCAAGATAAAGAAAATTACGGACTTTACAGTATGGCTCCACGCCTGTTCGACCTCCTTGCACGTTACAAGAAGCGGTACTTGCGACTTAATGCTGTTGCCCAACCGATTGATCTTGATTCCGCTCCGCCTCAGAATGAACCAGTTTCGCCGGTGAATGATCCAATTGAAAATGAACAGCTTCAGGCATCAAACTTGGACTTGGACGTGATTCTTTTATTCATATTGGTATTTGTCTGTATTGTAGCGTGTTTTTTGTGGGTCTAGTTAAGATTTTTGCCCTTTGGGTAGTTATATCGCTTTGTTAGCAGTATATGATCGGTGTGGCGAAGTTATTTTTCGTTGTATAACGCATGCATGCATGGTTCACTCGTGGGCGGCTGATCGGAAAATACGGCCGCCTCTTTTCTGTGTGTGTTTAACGATCGCTTACACTTGTGGTTTTAGTTACAGTTCTGTTGTATGTTATACATTATATCTTCATTTGATGTGTATTATTTCCGTCCTTGTGCGGGGTTATTTACCGTCAAGTTCGCTTTCGGTTCATATTTTAGTTCAGTTGAGATTGCGACGCATGAATGATTCCCGTCTGGTTTTAGCATTGTTCATTTTGTTAATGTTCTACGCGAGCGGGTCGTGTATTTCGCAAGATTCACTAATTGTTGAAAAGAACAATAGCTAGGCTATAGTGATTACCTTTCGCCTTTTTAAAAATGGTTATTGGGTATTGTGTTTTCGTATGGTATGGGACGGGAGCGCATTGCACTGCATGATTGATTCACTCCGAGCTTCCGTAGTTTATTGCATTTGCTTGAGCGAAAGAGGACCACTATGTTTGCCGTATGACCGACGTGCATCTCGCACTACATAATTGCTTGCTTGCGACCGAGCACAAATTCTTCTATGGATTTAGCTGTTGCCAATGTGTTTGGCGTATGAGAGAAGTTCATCTCGCAATTGCATGATTGCTTGAGACCGAGCACGAGTAGCTACTTAATTTGGATTTTAACCAACGTTGCCAATGTGTTTGGCGTGTAAGAGCAGTCCATCTCGCAAGTGCATGATTTCTTGCGACCGGGCACGGGTAGCGACTAAATTTGGATTTTCAACAAAGTTGCCAATGTGTTTGGCGTATGAGAGCCGTGCATCTCGCAATGCATGATCGCTTGAGACCGAGCACGCGTAGCTACAGAATTTGGATTTAAATTGCCAATGTGTTTGGCGTATATGGGACGTGCATCTCGCAATGCTAGATTGCTTGAGACCGAGCACGCGTAGCTACAGAATTTGGATTTAAATTGCCAATGTGTTTGGCGTATATGCGACGTGCATCTCGCCATGCTAGATCGCTTGAGACCGAGCACGAGTAGCAAATGAATTTGGATTTAAATTGCCAATGTGTTTGGCGTATATGAGACGTGCATCTCGCATTGCTAGATTGCTTGAGACCGAGCACGAGTAGCTACTGAATTTGGATTTAAATTGCCAATGTGTTTGGCGTATATGAGACGTGCATCTCGCATTGCTAGATTGCTTGAGACCGAGCACGCGTAGCTACTGAATTTGGATTTAAATTGCCAATGTGTTTGGCGTATATGAGACGTGCATCTCGCAATGCTAGATTGCTTGAGACCGAGCACGAGTAGCTACTGAATTTGGATTTAAATTGCCAATGTGTTTGGCGTATATGAGACGTGCATCTCGCAATGCTAGATTGCTTGAGACCGAGCACGAGTAGCTACTGAATTTGGATTTAAATTGCCAATGTGTTTGGCGTATGCGAGAAGTGCATCTCGCAATGCTAGATTGCTTGAGACCGAGCACGTGTAGCTACTGAATTTGGATTTTAAATAAAGTTGCCAATGTGTTTGGCGTATGAGAGACGTGCATCTCGCAATGCCTGATTGCTTGAGACCGAGCACGAGTAGCTACTGAAGTTTGGATTTTAAACAAAGTTGCCAATGGGTTTGGCGTATGAGGGAAGTGCATCTCGCAATGCTAGATTGCTTGAGACCGAGCACGAGTAGCTACTTAATTTGGATTTTAACCAACGTTGCCAATGTGTTTGGCGTGTAAGAGCAGTCCATCTCGCAAGTGCATGATTTCTTGCGACCGGGCACAGGTAGCGACTGAATTTGGATTTTCAACACAGTTGCCAATTTGTTTGGCGTATATGAGACGTGCATCTCGCAATGCTAGATTGCTTGAGACCGAGCACGAGTAGCTACAGAATTTGGATTTCATATTGCCAATGTGTTTGGCGTATATGAGACGTGCATCTCGCAATCAACACATACAGAATTTGGATTTAAATTGCCAATGTGTTTGGCGTATATGAGACGTGCATCTCGCAATGCTAGATTGCTTGAGACCGAGCACGTGTAGCTACTGAATTTGGATTTTAAATAAATAGTTGCCAATGTGTTTGGCGTATGAGAGACGTGCATCGCCAATGTGTTTGGCGTATATGAGACGTGCATCTCGCAATGCTAGATTGCTTGAGACCGAGCACGTGTAGCTACTGAATTTGGATTTTAAATAAAGTTGCCAATGTGTTTGGCGTATGAGAGACGTGCATCTCGCAATGCCTGATTGCTTGAGACCGAGCACGAGTAGCTACTGAAGTTTGGATTTTAAACAAAGTTGCCAATGGGTTTGGCGTATGAGCGAAGTGCATCTCGCAATGCCAGGTTGCTTGAGACCGAGCACGAGTATAGCTACTGAATTTGGATTTTTAAACAAAGTTGCCAATGTGTTTGGCGTATGAGAGAAGTGCATCTTGCAATGCTAGATTGCTTGAGACCGAGCAAGGGTAGCTACTGAATTTGGATTTTAAACAAAGTTACCCATGTGTTTGGCGCATATGAGAGAAGTGCATCTCGCAATGCCAGATTGCTTGAGACCGAGCACGAGTAGCTACTGAATTTGGCTTTTTAAACAAAGTTGCCAATGTGTTTGACGTATGAGAGAAGTGCATCTCGCAATGCTAGATTGCTTGAGACCGAGCACGGGTAGCTACTGACTTTGGATTTTAAACAAAGTTATCAATGTGTTTGGCGTATGAGAGAAGTGCATCTCGCACTGCTCGATTGCTTGAGACCGAGCACGATATCGCACTGCTCGATTGCTTGAGACCGAGCACGAGTAGCATCTCGCAATGCTAGATTGCTTGAGACCGAGCACGGGTAGCTACTGACTTTGGATTTTAAACAAAGTTATCAATGTGTTTGGCGTATGAGAGAAGTGCATCTCGCACTGCTCGATTGCTTGAGACCGAGCACGAGTAGCTACTGAATTTGGCTTTTTAACCAAAGTTGCCAATGTGTTTGGCGTATGAGCGAAGTGCATCTCGCAATGCCAGATTGCTTGAGACCGAGCACGAGTAGCTACTGAATTTGGCTTTTTAAACAAAGTTGCCAATAGATAGATAGAAAACTTTATTTATCCACGCTAACCCTGTCAACCGAGGCTGATTTCCACAGGGGGCGTGTAAAAAGGAATTACAAATATAGTATAAGGTATTTAAAGCTATTTACAATCTATAATATCAACTAAGTTATATAAACTATAAGTAAGTCATATATATATTTACAAGTATTTTAGGTTTTCAGTTTCTTAGGATCTTGTTTTAGTTAAAGGATGTGAGTAGCAATTTTATTTTCAAAACATGACAGGGATTTGCTTTCCCTAATTTCATTTGGAATAGAGTTCCATAAGTGAGCTCCGTTATACATGAAACTATTTTTCATTTTATTTGTTCGAGGTTGTGGTAAACAAAGATCACTGGAAATGTCCCGAAGTTTGTAATTTGTCATCCCACTTTTATAGGTGAAAAGGTTTGTGAGTGACTCAGGGCCCATTTTATTCAGAATTTTGTACATTAGTTTTGCTTTTGCCTTTTCTCTTATTGACTGAAGTGGCTCCCAGCCCAAAGCCTGTAAAACAATAGTGTGATCTATATCGTTGCTCATACTCATGATAATTCGAGCAGCTCTATTTTGAAGTTTCTGAAGTCGTTTTGACTGTGTTTCACCAAACACATCCCACACTTCACAACAATAATCGAAATGTGGACGAACAATAGCATTATATATTGAGATAAGTGTATCTCTATTAACAAAAGGTTTAACACGACGGAGAGCAGAGATTCCGGATGTTATTTTCTTGCAAATATTTTCAGTATTACTTTTCCAAGATAAACGCTGGTCAACTATTATTCCAAGAGTTTTGCATTCATAAACTTGTTTAATTTGTTTGTTTTCAATAATAATATTTTGGTGAAATTTTTTTATCATTCGTTTTGAGCCAATCAACATGAATTCAGTTTTAGCTACATTCAAGCTAAGTTTATTGGCCATCAACCAGTTTCTAAGATTTTCTAGATCAGAATTTACTGCAATCTCAACATCAGTCATTGAGTCTCCAGAAGCTGTGAGACTTGTATCATCAGCAAATAGGCGAGGTCTTGTATTATCAAGGCACTCGGGTAAGTCATTGATGTAATAATAATAACAATAATGGTCCTAAAATAGAACCACAGTACACCACATCTAATTAAGCGCTCTGATGAAACAAATCCATTTATTTTGCACTTCTGGCTACGATTTGTGAGATAGGATTTTAGGAAAGAAAGAGCTTGTCCTTTTATTCCATAAAACACCAACTTTTCTAGTAGAATATTGTGATCAACAGTGTCAAATGCTTTTTTTAAATCAATAAAAGCTATTAAGTTAAATAGTTTTCTATCTAAACTTACATACCACTCGTTTGTACAGTCTAGTAATGCTGTGGCTGTAGAGTGAGATTTCCGGAAACCAAATTGTGAATTACTTAATAATCCAAATTTGGTTAAATAATTGTATAGTTGGTTATACAGAATTCTTTCCATGATTTTGCTTATTGCTGGTAAAACTGAAATAGGCCTGTAGTTTCCTGGAATATTTCGTTGGCCATTTTTATAAAGAGGTGTTACTCTAGCTATTTTCCATTCATCAGGAAAAGAAGATAAAGTTAATAGCCTGATTAAAAATAAATGTCAGTGAATCTGAAATGGAAGGTGCAGCTATTTTAATAATTATACACAAAATCATATCAATGCCGGTCGCTTTATTGGTTGATAATCCACATAATAAATGAATGATGTCATTTACAGTAAGCTGTAGGTTGGAATGCAGCAGATTCTGATATAGCTTTTTTGACATATGCCTTAAAGTTGCAACTGGATGTATCAATTTTACTTGCTAAATCAGGCCCAATATTTGAAAAATATTCATTGAAGCCTTCCGCAATATCCTGCGGATCGTTTAAAGTACTTTCACCCATATTTAATTCGTTCACAACTGTTTGTTTGGTTTGTTTGCCTAGTAGGTTGTTTATTGATTTCCAGGCTTTTTTTGGATTACATTTTTGACCTGCAATTTTCGTGGAATAATAGTTTTGTTTGGCATTTCTTAATTCAATATTAATCTGATTTCTAGATGTTTTGTAATTTATCCAATCTATTTCTGATTTACTTATAATAATTGCTTTTCTTTTTAATTTGTCTCTTTTATTAATAAGGTTTTTAATTTCACTTGTGATCTGTACTTTGCGCTCCAGCAGTCAAAATTTGTTAACTGTGCCTAGAGTGCGAACAGAGACATATGGCGAGAACTCTTTTTCCTGCGCTGCTCCGAGACTCTGGAACAATCTTCCTGACTCTATTAAGCAAAGTCCAACTATCGATGAGTTTAAGGCAAAGTTGAAAACATATCTTTTTAGGATAGCTTTCACTGAGTAACTGTTTTTAGATTTTTAGATTCTTGTTGTAAAAAGCATTGAGACTCATGTATAATGCGTTTTTATTATTATTATCCAAGGAACCTTGTTAGATCTAACTTTTTTTTGTTGGAGTGGTGCATGCTTATCTAATACTTCAAGAAAAAGTTCCTTCCAAATTTCCCACATACTGTAGCATTCGGATCATCGCCAAAAAAATAGACATAATCCCAATGCTGATTTAAATTAAACAGTTTTTTTCATTTCTTTGCATAACTCGGATTTTTCTGATTGCAAATACTAAACTGTGATCACTGATTCCGGTGTGAATAACACCAGAATGAGAAATTTTTTCAGGAGTATTGGTAGTAATATGGTCAATAAGGCTAGATGTTGTCATAGTAATTCGGGTAGCTTCATCAATTAACTGGGATAATTGGTATAACTCATATACTCAGTTTATTTTTTTTGTTGGCATGTTATTAGAAAGCTTTTCCTTTTTTAACATGTCACAATTTAGATCACCCATCAAATACATTTCTTTATCCTCATCATTGATTTGTTTGATCAGCTTTTCAAAATGGTCAAAGAAATCTGATGATGCATTGGGTGGTCTGTAAACAGTTGTGACAATAAATGGTCGACTGTGTGGTTTAGTAATTTCCATACAAACAGCCTCTAAATCAGATGAAATAAGGTCAGATCGAATTTTGTAATTGATAGAACTACGTAAATATATGCAGACACCACCTCCGTTTTGCGATCTGTCTTTTCTAATTATGTCATAGTTATCTAAATGAATAAAGTTATCAGTAAAACTCGAATCAAGCTGTGTCTCATTAAATGCAATAAGATCGATATTTTTGTTAGACATTGAGTGCTGAATTTCATCTATTTTTTTAGGCAGACTAACAATATTTAAAAAGGCCATTTTAAAACCTCTTTCATTGGGAATTGAGTTAAGGGTTGTTGAAAAATTGCTACTCACATTTTTTCGTTCCGAATTACTACAAATTACTGGTATAACTTTCTTTTAATGATATAAAACAAATAGATGACATTTTCCTGACTGGAAAGTTTGGAAATTGTGTGCCGGAGATTTTGAAAATTTAATAGTAAATACATAGAAAGCATCAAAATTGCACGGCTGATATCTTCACCTAGCCTGCGAACAGGCTCACTGGGAGAAAGGTGAGCCTGCACGGAACCATGCGTTTTATTCAATCATCCCCTTTTCGCATCTGCTAAACGCGAACCAATCAGCGTCGACTGCGATAAATAAACTGTCAACTGTCAAATTGACGCAAGGCGTGTACATTGTGCAACGAAGAAATACTGAATATTAAAATGTATACATATAAATGTATATATATATGAACAATAATACAAAGCATTAGCGGGCCGCACAAAATATTACTCGGAAAAATATAGAATTCTTCAAATATTAAATAGATATCAATACACATACAAATATAAAGCCGAATAAAATACTACCATTGGCATTGAATCAATATACAGTAATACTTGTACTATGTGCGACTGAAAGAACAAAATTGTTCTGAATATTTGAAGCTATTACTAAAATACAGTCAGATAGATTGGGATTTGGAATACCGAATACGTCTAAAATTTTACTAACTGTGGTCTAAATAAATGATAAATGAGCATGTATCAATTTCTTCGAAATCATGAGTGTGCCAATAGTGGAAGCATAGTGGTGAAAGCCGTATCGACGACGAAATTGTCAGCAGTTTATACAGTAAATAGTACAGCGTTTAATGTACGATATATATTTATATCTAAATGACATGTCAGCGAGGATCAACAATATAATTATTCGTACATATTTGGGTATCTTTTGTATACTTTCGCTTGCTGACTTGCTCACTAATGAGAATAATCCGTGAAGCCACGACGACCTCAAAATGTACTATACTATAGTCTGATGTCAATCCGAAGACGAAGTTCAGAATACTGTTATAGTTTCGTATATTGGATTTAAGCGATAGATTCAAGTCATTTATGATAGACTTTTTGCTGTGATGCTTTGCTATTGCTTTTGGTTTCCATTTCTAGTTTTATTTGTTCGATAGTCTTATAATATATAATATTAAAATGAATAAAGTTCAAATTCTTCAAAATGCTGTTGTTGACATTTGCTATTTTTAGTAATTTTGTCAACGAGTGTAAGCCAATCAGAAGCCTGCGTTTCTATACGAACGCCACTACCAAGAAAACCTATAGTTCCGTGCAGGCCCTCTATTCTTCGCGCCGCCCGTAACCCAGGGCCTGTTCGCAGGCTAAATAAACGTAGGATCTGGGCACATTGCATGCCAGCTAATGGGTAGGACTGTTCGGTATACCGATATACCGAAAATATCAGTGTGAAATCAATATCGGTATATCGATCCCGGATATTCAGCCATACCTATATACATAAATTTCTGATATACCGGAATTTTTCGGTATACCGTGCTACATTTACCTACTATATGGCAAAGCCATAACTTTTATTTTACTACTGAATGGCAATTCAAAAAACGTTCTACTGAAATGATTTAGATTTTGAAACAGCTTCAAAATTATCGTTTTCCCTTATAGAATTACTCAAAATTACCTTCAAATTTTCATTAAAGAATTTTCCTTTATAATTAATTCTCAAAGGAAAACCGGTATACCGATAATATCGGTATAATTTTTTCTGTATACCGATACCGGAAATTTCTCATACCGAACATTCCTACTAATGGGGTAATTAAACGTACATGTACTGTACTTAATTTGATTGTTTGATGTTCTCTTGATGGGTGATAGGGACATCCCAATACTTTACAGAGGGAAAAAAGATTGTCACCAACAGAAAAATTACAGATACTGTATTTAGATGTTAATCAGGAAAAAGTTAGCACAAAACGGCCTCTGTGTGTGGAAGAAAATTTGACATTTGTAATAGATAGATCCGCCCTCAAATGTAAAGCAGACTGGTTCATCACAGATAATGGCTCGTTTAGAAACCTTGGACATTCTGAAAAGATATTTGGAATAAGGGATGGAGAGGTGACAAATTGATTTATAATATCTTGCATGTTCTTCTACTGTATATTTTCCTCATAGAATTTTTGTGTATGTTCAACTATTTCAAATTTTATACCCACTGCTTGTTTCATTTGCAGTAGTATGAATTTGGCAATAACATATTATAACATGGAACAATTACATGTTATGACATCATTCCACAAGCTGAATACTAATAAAATGCTAAAATTTACAAGGCCTTATTAACTGACAACATCTGGCATTAGTTAGAGTAAAATACTCTAGCGTTAGACAAAGTAAAATGTACTAAAGTACAGGTTCATTCGGGCTCTTGCCAGTTAATGGGTTAACAAAGATGAAGCCATATCGGTATTACATTTAATTGAATACCATTGTGTTTTGCTTTTGTATTAAACTCTAAGTATGTTTTAAATTTTTATTTTGATAATTTAAAGGATATGAACATGTAGTTCCAAGAAAGAAGGACAACAGGCCACAGCTGAATGAAGATGAGTTACTAATGACCACAGTATACTGGAGACATAGCAACCAAAAATATTCTGATTTCCGTCGTGCCACCACAACACTGAAGAATCATCAAGGACAGGATATTGATCTGGGTTTGGTAGAGTTCTACTTCCTAAATGAAGAGCACCCTGTGAGCCCTCACAAGCACAAGTGCACCGGGAAGCCATTCAACCCAACATCCACATCCACCAAGCAGACGATTAAAGAAGCAGTTAAGGGAAAGCAGGGACCATCCACTATATTCTCAGATATTGTTAATGGAGTGGGAGGCTCTCTGAATTGTGAGTCTGTATCAGATATCCCGAGGAATATAGATCAAGTAAAACAGGCAAGAGCTAAATTGAATTTCAAACCAAAACATGCTGAATTTGTGTCACTGTTAGATTTGGCACAAAGTTCTATATATATTAGAAACTTGCAGTGGACGCCAGTGCCAAGAGTTGTCTTCTCATATGACGAAGTTCTTGAAGAGATAGTAAATAATTGCTGTAAAGTGAACAGTTCATGTGTTTTATCTATTGATACAACATATGGAATAGGAAATAAGTTTGTTACAACCACAACTTATCCACATGCAATGTTAATAGATTGTGTTACCGGGAAACATGCAAATTTGCCAGGCCCTGCAATGTTTCATGTTTCAGAAAAAAAGGAAGACTTTGTGTATTTTGGGCAAACACTGGTTCAACAAAACGAAAGTATCGAAAACGTAAGGTTTATAGGGTCAGATCGTAGTTCAGCCTTAAAAGGCTTCATGCAGCCCCTGAAGGGAGCAGTGCTTGTCCCATGTACTAAACATGTTAAGGACAATATCGAACGTCAGTTTAAAACATTGGGAGTAAATGAAAAAGACAAGAAAAGCATTCTGTTTGACATATTTGGAAATACAACCCTTTCCAGAAAAGGTTTAATTGACAGCGAATCTGTTGATGACTTCGATGCTAAGTTAGAGGTATTAAGTACAAAATGGGTTAGGTTAGACAAGGGTGTCGATTTTTTAAACTACTTTCAGGTTAACATTAGCGATGATATGAAAGTAGGTATGTTACCCTCGGTAAGGAGAGAAATTGGTCTTAATGACAACTTCTTTTATAGTAATGCGGAAGAGTGTTCTCATTTCAAATATAAATGTAAAATTAGAGAACACAAGGCATTAACTGCAACTGGCTATGGCCGAAATGTCAATGTCTCATGGCTAGAAGCCATCAACGTTTACAAGAGCATGGTAGATCAGGTCAGAGAGAACATTCGCCTTGCGGTCTTAGGAATTGGACCCTATAGTTTTGCACCTGAAGCTCAACATCTTGTAGTAACTCAAAAAGAATGGAGTAAATTAAGCCCAGAGGATCGTAGGAAGCATTATGCAAAAATCCATTTTCTAGAGGAAATGTAATTGCTTAATTAGAGCATTGTTTTCATGGTTACAGAGTTTTTGCGATTTTCGTTTTGCATTTGTCAGTTCAGACCACTCACCAGTTTATAAATTTTTAGTGATAAAATCTGACATTTTACGACTTTAGCTAATTCTCGATAATCTAATAATTGCCAAACAAAACTGATTAAATTGTCATTACATCCACAGTTTATAGCCAATGAGTGTTTTTTGCAGGAAAACTCAAGTGATAGCAGCATGGAGCAAGATGAACAAGGATCAAATTTTGTGGTGAATGATGATCCCCTGGGTGACTTCCATATTAGTGGCCTTCCAGAATATCTTTTAGGTTCTTGGAATAATGCAAGAAAAATTTTAAAATTGGGTGGTGTAAGTAATCACCCAACTGATGATCAGAAATTTGTTGTAATTTCACTGTCTCAGCCCATAGTTCATACTGTTCATGTCCAGCCAAATGGCAAAGTAATATGTGATAGAGAATGTTTTCGTTTTAAGGGGCACAAAATATGTGCACACACCATATCCGTCTCCAAAAAGCAGAATATTTTAGATGCTTTTCTTAGTCATCATATTTCCAATGTTGACAGGGTTGTCCAGTGTGTAATGCCTAGTAGTTCAGGGAAAAAACCTGGACAAACAAGTAGAAAAAGAAAAAAGAGTCATAAAAGGGATACAACCGGGTGGGATGACATACCACTAGAAACTCCGACAGCTAAATCTAATGAATATGAAGTTGTGTTTGTACGATGCACTAGAGCAACCACATGCTATGGTTGCGGCGGGAAGGTCAGGCAGAAACCATCAAGTGACCCACCACCTCCCCCTTACGATATTTTCTTGTGCCAGCATGAAAGAAGGGTTTACAAAAAAAGGGGTAACCCTGTTCAAGTAAACATTTCAAAACAAGGAGAGGCTGTGTATTACCATCCTCTACAAAAATGTTTAAAACAGAAATTTGGCGTTGGAAGCCCAGATAACATTAGGTTATGTGAGCAGGTTAGAAAGCAGATGTTAGACTGCCACAGGCAGTTACTCTTCCGGGAATTTGGAATTCCAATGAACTGATCCAATAATTTGTAACTGAATGTACTGTGTTAAGTCATGGTCGTCGTTAGGTAATGGTCGAGAGCCAGCGTATAAATATACGACACTTTACATGTTGAGGTTTTTTTATACTTGTTGTGCATGTATAGCGTAGGTAAAATCTGTTTCCATATATCAAACTTGTGTGATGTTACTTTACCATCCATGCTTTTTCTTTATGTAACTAGGATTAGGGTTAATTGTTCTATAGTCCAATTGAAGATTAGCTTTTTGCCAATTCGGTTAGAAAGAAGTTTCAAGATTTCTGATTAAACTTTATTGAAAAAATCACATTTGAAGTTTGATAGATGAAAACAGATGCTCGTTTTATACTGTAGAAGTTGAGTTCATTGTTAATATCCATAAGGAACGTTTAATAAAGTTATTTAAATTATTTTCCCGTTTACTGATTTACATAGGCGTACGAGGCAATAGTCGAGTCGAAAGTTGTATATATATATATATATATATTGATACAATTCTCTAAACTTTTTGTCAATTTAGCTCATTCTTCTCCAAATTCACACTTATTTTTGTTAATTAACTTTCTCTGGGCCTAGAAATTACCTGAATTTGTGTTCATTTACCTGAATTTCTTCTGCAAATCTACCTGGATTTACCTGAAATTGCCCACATGAGCAATTATTGGGGGGTGTTACACCCCCCACACCCACACCCCGGTCGGCACGGCCCTGCGCACAAGTGGTTTTAGACACAATAAAACATGAGTCGCGCGTGTATTGAACGGCTTCAAAAACCAATTAGTATTCTTTATATAAGGAATACTAAGTAGGAAGTGTTTTATCAAATATGAAACCACTGCATGTAGCATATTATACTTGATTTGGTTGGCAAAAAAGATCATGAAACTGTTAAGTTATCCGATAAACAATAGAGACTTAACGAGGATATTTTCTGATTGTATTATATTAAGTTTGTACGCCGTTGAGGGAAAAAAAGACTACGCCGGCACGCCAACATTAATATTTGCACGCCGCTGCGCCGTAGGGCATCGCAACTCCACGCCAAAGATCTTCGGGTTTGGCTACATGGAATGCACCCTGGACTCGCACATATCGTCATGATTTATATAGCTTATAATAGACGTTTGCTGTATTCTACAGGGTGTATAAAAAAACGCAACCTCGGAATTTCCTAAGAAATCATTTTACAATTCTTAAGCATAAAAGATTTTAGGCCCCTGGGAATTTGAAATCGAATTGCTAATAGATCATATTACTGTTGTTGTGCATTAAATAAATGCATAAATTTTGCTTTATGCACTCGCGTGTGCAGTAATTTTGACAGTTGTGCTATTTTAAATTCCCAGGCGCCTAAAATCTTTTGTCTTTAAAACAATGTCGATTTCTTGGGAAGTTCCGAGGTTGCGTTTTTTTTTTATACACCCTGTATATATACCAGTATTGGTGTTTTTATTTGGATAAAGTTAGTTTGTGATGAAAACCGGAAGTGGAGATCAGTCTCTGATCTCATTCGTCTGGATGGAGGGAATTGCGAACCTGCAACCTGCAAAATTAACCAGCCGGTTTTCTCATTCATTTATCAGAATCATTATTTTCCTCATAATAGTCATAATCAATACTGATCTTTATCCTCATCATCAACAACTGTATTTGTCTTCTTAGGTGTATTCGATGTAGATGAATCTCACCTTCATTTAACGATCTGTCCACGTCACAGAGATGAGTATGGTATCAGGTGGCTCACAAACAAGAAAAATTGTGCTTGTCCTACTAATTGGGCTCCCCATAAAATAATGCAACGAAGAGGTGATCGTGGGATAACACTTCAACAATCTCGTCTGTTATACGATTATACCTCAACAGTTGTACCAGTTGCTTCGCGTAAGTATAACATGTTGACCACACATTGTCGTTCACTGGCTGCAGGTTTCTAATTAAATGATCTATTTCTTTTCAAAGCAATTTGCAAGAGATGTTGAATTCGTTTGGGAAAGAGTGCATCACCAAATACCTCCTTGACTGAAGAACAAGAGCAAACAGACACATTCACTACAGAATTATCAGAAGAACACCCAACTCCCAGCATTGGTGAACCATCGAGTTCTTATCTTGTACGTTGAAGAATTTATATAATTTTGTTGTTCCTTACAAACTAGACCTTCATTCATTATTTCACTTACTTCCTTACATTTACTTACTTTCTTACCCACCTTCTACCCATGCCACTATTTGTTTGTGCGTTGGTTTGTTGGTTCATTCGTTCATTTATGATAATACATTTGTTTGTTCATTTTCGTTCATCCATTCGTTCGTTCATTCATCCATCCATCTATTCGTTCTCATTCTTGGATGAATCTCCTTGACTTTTGGTAACATTTTTTCAATTGCACCCTTTCGATTCGGAATATAACAAGTCTTTCCAGTAAGGCAATATATTGTAGCAAATGGGTTATATATTAACACATTTCAGCGGCAAAAGATTGAGACAAATATGTCGCGATATTTTTATGAAAAGTAGCGTCTATTGTTACAAAAGGGAATTTTGTCTGAGAAAAGCTAATTTTTTGGTCTTTTTTCACCGGACCAAGCAAGAGTATGAAGTTGTAACCACCCTCGTTTATTCTAACATACCCTTGAGTATCCGTCGTGATTCGTTTTGTAGCAATTGCCTGTGCAACATGTCGAAGTTTTTCTGTTGTACCTTTACCAGCCTTGCTACTCTAGAACGATGTGCAAAACGCACTGATGAAAAAAATGTTGGTAAAACTTTTCTAAAATTGCGAGTTTTCCGTCAACTTCTTTCATACTTGGCAATAGGCTGCGCATAGGAGTTGCATTTAGCGACAGAGAAGTTCAGAATTTTAGATGAAATACTTCTTCAGAAATTTGCGTTTTTGATGTAAAATCGGATGTTACAAAAAGGAAAAACTCCTTTTTGTAACATAAATTGTCCTTTTTGTAACATGAAAAATATTCATTTCTCCTGAATTAAAAGTTCATAAGGATTTTTTTAGAAGATTAATTGAAGAACTAATGTCACATAAAGAATACAAGGGAACAATGGACCTAAAAAGACTCCTCGTTTTGACACAATAAGCAACATTCGATTTGTATGAGTTTTTGATGTTTTTCTAGTTAGGTACACAATAATAATATTAAATAATAACAGTTGGAAATTCAATAATAATAGCTGGAAATTCACTGTTAAAAATGTACGAGATTAGGGGATTTTTTTCCAGCTTTTTGAACTGTAGCATTTGATGGCATTGATGCCACACGCTATTGACAGTAAAGCAATGTAGTTTCCGAGCGATAGAATGGGGCGAGTCAACGAAAATACATAATTATACATGCTTTTTTATGCAAGTTTTTAGTACTTTGTCTTTGACTTCCTTCTTTTTTATGAGAAGATTTCTTGTGTTTGTTTGTTTGTTTGTTTGTTTGTTTGTTCTTTGGAGTAAACATGAATTGAGGTAAGCATCTTATACTGTTAATTTAAAGGAGTTATTTTGTGTTTTGTTTAGCGAAGTAAAACAAAAAACTGGAGTCCCTTTTTTTAAGTAAATTATATTTGTTTTTTTAACATTATTCAGGAGTAAAATTTACCGCAAAAAGAGTCGTTCTGTACCTATTGTATTAACTCGAATTTTAATTTTACCTCGCAAAAAACTTTAATATAACACCGTTACTGCCTTAGTACTAACATAAGTATGCTATTATTATTATTAAATAGTTCTTGTGGATGGAAATTTTGAATGAAAACGATATAGTTTACACATTTTACCACAATTAAGTTTATGTATATTAAATATTAGGGTGCTGCCAGCAGAAGCCAAACACAGAATAGAGTTATTTACTGTACTCAGACATATACCATAATATACTGACAACACCTTAGCGGCTTAGCATATACATGAAGTTTCATGTACCGGTGTCCCAGAATTTTCGCCCCCCCCTACATTTTCGCCCCCCGGGGGGCGAAATTCCTAGGAATATCGCCCCCCCAGGGGGGCAAAAATCCTAGGAATTTCGCCCCCCTTTAGGAAATTCGCCCCCCTTTAGAAACTTCACCTTTTCTTTAGGACTGTCGTCCTCCGTTCAAAATTTCGCCCTTCCTAACAGTTGCATGGGATAACTATTACATGGCTTTAATCATTTGAATTCAAAGTTGTTAAGACAGAGCTTGAAATAACAACCGATCACCGATCAATGATCGGCAAGGAATTGCTTATGATCGGCGGAAAAGCAGAGTTTCAGTTTCCAACCTGAAAAAAGCAGGGAAAGTCGCGACTGCCGATCACCATGGTCGGGAACTTTGGGAATATTATTTCAAGCCCTGCATGTAAGAATACAAATTTACAATTACATGTATCGAAAGGGCTTTACACAGTTACAGTAGATGAATACTCAATAGGACTTATGACGCTTCACAGCACACCATGCATATTTTGCATTTTCAGTGTTAATCCTTAAACTCATTGTTACTGTTGTTAAAAAGTAATCACCGTGGTGGTTATTGTAATTATTGGTATATGTTTTGCATCCACGTTTTGTCGTTATCGGAAAATGTATGGTTTGTCACTATTTTTTACTTGCATTATTTCAATATAGTTTATAAATCTCAGAAGCGAAGGGTAGAACTTGCCAATAGGCAATAATCCAATAATATACGTTTCAAAAAAGACAAGAAAGCTTTTAGTTTTGCAGAGTTACATTCTCAAATGTTTAAGGCATGCACTAGTAAAATCAAAGTATCATGAAATGATTTGAATAAACCACACCACATATATAATGCAATTTTCTTTGCGGAAGTGAAGAATTAAGATTATATCACTGACACAGAAAGTTGACGATTCAACAGACAATAGTCAATACGCTTCCCAACACATTCCATGGATTTTTTACTAATCCTATAGTTTATTGTTAGCA